ATCAATCCTTTCATAAACCCTTTTTCCTCGAAAAATCCCGTAAGGGTATATCTCCCGTTGCAAATTAATATACCCTTGTACTAGCCTCTGTGTTGATAAACTCTTTTTCCGTAGTTTAGCCGAATCAACCCTCAAACACAGGGTTTATCATTGCAATAATAAACGCTCAATTTCAGGGTTGATTCGGCTGAACTACGGAAAAAGAGTTTATCAGCACAGAGGCTAGTACAAGGGTATATTAATTTGCAACGGGAGATATACCTTTACGGGTTTTTTCGAGGAAAAACGGTTTATGAAAGGGTTGATCCTTCCTATAAACGGATTTGATGTTCATAAACGGATATTGAGGGTTTATCCTTCTCCGCATATTTTTATCAGTGTACGCATTCAATCCAGCGAGAAGTACGGTTTATTTACACGTAGGCATGATCAGCCAACGACGACTCGTTCGATTTTTATTAGTTTTGGATATTGCTTTACGTAAATTTTCAAGGTCTTTTATCGGTTTGCGATATTTTTTGAAGTAACGATGCAATTTTTGTTCATGCTAATATGCTACCAATGTGTTTCATTACGATGAAACTGTGGCGCAGTTACGCCGTAACTGCGATCGCATTGTGACCCGTAATTGCGGAAAATTGCGACGTAACCACGCGTAACTACGATGAAAAAATCGCAATTTCGGTTACGGGTAGTTAGGGTAAAAAAAACTCCCAGTTACGCATAACGGTGTCCAAGTTTTTCGCAATTATGGGTCACAGTGTCGTCGCAATTGGTACAAAAGATGACATAGATTAGATTTTCATTTTATTTGTACTTTTATTGTGAATTTAAAATATTTTTGCACAAAATAAAAAACTTAAAACTATAAAATTAAAATTTATATAAGAAATAAAAAAAAAATGTTTAAATTAAAAATTTTCACAATAAAAAAGAATTGAAAAAAATTAAAACCTAAAAAAATTTCAAAATTTACTAAGTTAAAAGTTAAAAGAAATTTTAATTTTAAAAATTAAGGAAAATAAAAAATAAATATCTAGAAAAATAAAAATATTAATATCTAAAACAAATTTTTAAAATTTAATAATAGAAGAAAAAAAATTTAATTACAAAGAATTGAAAAACTAAAAGGATTTAAATCTAGAAAAATTTTAAAAAGATAAAAACTATGTATTCTACTGCTTATAGTAGAATGACTTATGAAAGAAAATGCGACGAGCACTACTATTTATACTGATTTTCTGTGACTATGTTTTATTGTTAGAGTGTAGCCAATTACAAATAAGGAGGAATAATTTATAATTGGCCATTTATACCTACAAGAGATCGTAGGGTCCGACCACTAGGACGCAGTTACGCTGATCTGCATCACTGTACCCGTAATTTCTTATAGAAATCTTCACTACGATCAATGCGCCATAGTTACGCGTAACTGCGACGCAAAATTGGCTCTGCGCGTAGCTGCGGCACAGTTGATAAAAAAGAGACGACATGAGTACTTTTGTTTCGTTATAAAATTATTGGAATTTTTGTATTTCAAAGTTGCGGAATTTTTACTACAAGCATGGAAATACTGTAGTAGCACGAAATTGACCATTAGCACTCGGCATTCCGTATTCCTATAGGAGCTGTAGGTCTCTGATCTCGACTTCTTTTATGCTAAACGGTAGGATTGGGTAGCTAAGAAGTCACAAATTATCGCATAACTAATCGATGGAATCAATTTGAATTTTAAACAATCGGTGCTAATATTTGATAAACTAAAACCCAGAAGAACCATTGAGGCATTCAAATCTGATCGGATTCTAAGTGAATTTCTATTAGATCGACGGATTACTGTTGGATTCATATTAGTGGAACAACATTTGATCTCCAGAGATGTCATAATATCCTAACACTGGGTATCGTAGACATACCAGTCACGATATCCATTCAAGTGGATATCTAAAATGGATACTAAAATGAATACCCACGTTCCTCATAGCTGAGGATTTTGAGTGCATTTGGTGTAACGAGAATGGGTATCTATTTTTATATATCCCCAGAGCTGAGGAATTTGAGTGCATTTGGTGTAACGAGAATGGGTATCGGAAATGGATACCCTATTGTAAAAATACGTGACTTTATAATTATAAATAAGGAAGCGTGATGCTATGTTAAAATTTATTGTATTCATGTAGTCAGCTTTATGCCAATGTTTATCGATATGTACAGATTTGTTTAATGAGCATTGCAGAGAGCGTGCAATTCCAAGTAAATGTTCGTTGAAGAACTTCATTTTTACCTTATAACAATTTATTACGACTTTCATCAAAATCACTCAAGGAAATCGGGTTGAAACTGCAGCATGCTGCGTAGTTGGTGTTGTTGTGGATCGTCACATGCATGTTATTTGAATTCTGGCTTATATTAATTTGTTTGAAGTAGGACCTGACAGTAGGAAAATTTCTGGTACCCAATCTCGTTACACCAAATGCACTCAAATTCCTCAACTCTGAGGATACGTAGATGTCCATCCAACTGGGCATCCTATCTGGGTATTCATCTCGATACCCAAGTTGTGGATATTATGACATCCCTCTTCAATTTCTATTGGTTGGTAAGATCTTAAAGGATGCGGTGTCGTATTTCTTCGCCTGGGAGTCAGACTTGTACAGCCGATACTGAATATCGATTGAATCAAAAAGTCGAACAACTGTATTTTTTGCAGTCGATTTCTTTATTTATTTGCTTTTCATATTTTATGCAAAAAATTCTAACATTCTTTAACAGGCTGTACTCTGGGAGGAAGGCCAATAATTTTGTATTCATTCTTTTATTCGCTGTAGTTTACAACTTTGTCAGATATGATTTTATGTAGAATTTTAGTATTTGAACTATATTTTTAGGATACATAGTTATATGTCTACCTGGTTTAAAAGAAAATAGATGTGAAAATATAGACAAGTCCACTAGTTGTATCCATTTTATCTTGTTTACATTTTAGTGATACAAAAATGAATCATCGATCCAGAATACTACGACTACTATCTTGTTCCGCATCGCTATCAAAAAAAGATCAAAAACAAGATCCAAAGGAAACAACAAGCAGACTTCTCTATTTTCACATTTGTTTGCTCTTAAACTATATAGATAGATATATACGTAATTGTATATTCCAATAGCATAGTTCAAATGCTAAAATGTATGTAAAAGAAGCATGTATGAAGATGTTATAATTTCAACGAAACATTACATTTTAAATAAATATCAATCCAATCGAAATCGAATACAAGAAGGAGTACGAATTTAACTGATGTGCACACTTAAAGGAGCCGACCGAATCAATCATTAGAAAAGACGTAGCTATAGACATGTACTTAATTCGTACAAGGCTCACATGATTATTAACAACAAAATAAACGTGAATCGGAATATATGTTATACCTAGCTCTGACGTCTGTTTCGCTGTTGTTGTTTACAAAAACAATTGACTATGGAAATAATTGTATCTGTCTATCTATGTGTGATTGAACTTCAAATTAATGATCTTTTTAGGTTTTTTAAACATAGGAGAAACGACAGCGGAAAACACAATGATTCTATGTGTGTTAAATATACAGTTGTTCTGATAGAGCTATTCAACTTTGTATTTATGATTTTGGTTTTAGGTTCTCATCTATTTCATTTGTTTTCTTTTTATTATAATTCTTCAGAATCTAATAAACAAGCTATGGACTCGAATAGATGTACAAATACATATGTTGCAAGACAATTCTATAAAACGAAACTTCTATTACTTAATAAAAGTATTTGTCCTTAATATGTAGAGAGAAAATTATTCAGAATGCATCAAGACGAAAAAAAGACACAATAGTTCAAGAAAAAAGGAAGACGAAAAAGAAATTAACCAATACAAGTCTCGGTTTCACACATATTCTTCGTGTTTTAGCTCTTGAATTTTATATGCAACAACAGCGATGTAATATTTATAGGGTGAATGTAGTGTCACTTTTGAAAATACCATTACAAATGATCAAGATAGTCCATTTCTAATAATTACTCAACAAATCAACTAATTGGCTTATTCTACACAATAGACTATCATCTTTCATTTTGGCATACTGATACCAACAGACGCACATGATGTACATACGTTAAAGTCTTTATAATTATCTCCTTTGTGTCTCGTCAACAGCTGCAAATGAGTATGTCAGTTTGATTTAGAAAAACCATGAAGTTTCTTTTCTTATTACTCAAAGTGAAACAAATGTTCGTTTTGAAAAGAAAAGAATAATGTGAAAAAAAACCATAGCTACATTGTCTATATTCACTATTCGAACGAAGTGAATCCTCAACTTCTCGTCTTTGTGTTAGTGCATCTCTGAACAAAAAATCTTTATTCTTTTTCATTATTTTACACATAAAAATTAGCAACACGAATTTTAGTTTTTGTACAAGTAAACATATAAACAATGAAGTTGTCGGTTATGATCATCCCGACGTTGGCATATCTAACCTTTCACTATCTATGTATCTAATGCATAGCTAAAGCAAATCTTTTTGTTTGATTGATACTTGGTAACCTTTTGTGCAGCTGCTTCATTGTGTATTTGCATATACTCATGATACGCAAAAGACCAGATACCTGTCCATTTTGCTTTTTGTAACATCTACATTGATGGTGTGTTTGCAACTATACAACAACAGATGATTTTAATGATATTCAAAAAAGAAAAAACGAGAAACTTATAGTTTGTCACAATCATATTGATAAAGTGCCCATATTTTTATTGTTGTAGAATATTTCAAGTAAGATGAACGTGTTTGGACGAATGACGATAACTGTATAAAAGGAGATGAGCAGTAATAATTTTTGATATAGCACAGTGTATATATATTTCTTGCAATAAAATAGATAGATATGATTAGATAAAATATTGTTATAATTTAAGTACCATAAAATCCATCATTATTATTGCATCTACTTTTATTTTTATATTCTAAGATATATTTACTTTATGATGAAAATGATTATCATTACAAATTTAAATGATCGTTGTTATGCATTGGAACAAGAATTTCAAAAGCTTGCTGTTATTGTACCGACTATACCAAAAGATCAATGCCTTTCTGAACTTGAACTTATTGAATTCGTAATTGCTTATATTCGACAATTACAACAAGTACTTTCACATGATCAACGAAATGAACATACCAGTAAATTAACATCGTCTATCAAAAGTTCTATTTTACCCTTACCCCTATTATCACCGCATTCATGCAAACAAGTCATATTTCTACCATCACGAATACAAACAAACGAAAGCTCTTCGAAAATGTGCTGTACTCCACTTGTTTCAATCGATACAGATAATTCTAGTTAGTCATGTTCAACAATATTATAATTTATATGTTCGCTTCGTTGCTAATTGATTTTTATTATTGATTTATGTATCAAAAGAAAAGGAAAATTGTTCTAATTTAATTCGACTTAGGAAATCTTTTTTTCATGCTCTGTATTGAAACTTATTTAGTGATGTAAAATTTCAAAGAAACGATTTTTTTCAACAGATCAAACACAACGAATGATTGAAGAAGGTTTGCTACAATATAATATTCAGTTCATAAATAGAATTCAACAATCGAATGGAATTGTTATGAGCAATCGCTACATAAAATAACTGCTATATCCTATGTTTCCGTGTCATGCTCTTTAACAGAAAATTTTTCAAGATCATGTAGGAAAAAGAACGAAAATTTTGATAATACTTTTGCAAATACCATAAGCATTATGGTAATGCTCACATTAAATCTTACTTAGCAGCAATCCGGTAGCATTAAATTACTATCGAAAAATTTTCATATTAACCTGAAGCACTTTCAAATTTCGGAAAGCTATCTTGTGACAAATTTACAATTTAGTTTTCAAACAAGGATAATAAAAAAAAGTTAAAGAGAAGAACAGAGAAAACAATATTTCATTTCATAAAATTTCAACTACAATCATCAACGACAATAGTGCCTCATTTTTATTTTAATACTTATTGATATTAAATTCTTTTTTTTAGCATTTACATTCTAAATCATATCCCACAAGTCTTCTTGTCGAACGCACTCTCGTTCCGTACATCAGCGCTGGAACCGGACAGGACAGGACCAATTCAGAAAGTCAACCGGGCCGGTAAATACTGGAAAATCATCGGTTGAAATTTAAAATAGCTATCTTCATTTAGCTTTATTTTTGTTAAAAAAATGTTTTTATGAATTTTCCCATGAAGTAGATATAATGAAATTGTGCTATCAATCTATAGTCTTACGAAACTATTGATGATGCAAAATTTTGTGTAGCTTAGAAGGAATATTTGATTGTCATCATAAACACAAGCAATGCATCTCATTTTCTTTCACAATGAAGAGAAATCAACGAAAGTGCGACAGCAGATCAATTTGGTTGGTCGATGCAGTCTATTTTATCGACAGTGTTGTTTTTTTATCATACACAGTTGTAAAAAGATGATTTGATAATAAAATTTGAAACGTCTACCTTTTCTTTTCTACAGATTTTTTGATAGATTTCATCATATTTCATCCATGATGTAAATTCTATAAAGTATGTTTTCAAAATACTTTTCCTTAGAAGCTTGATCAGAAAATTTAGAGTATTCAGCTATCAGCATTTATAATATGAGGAGCTGAGTCATAACATTTGAATAGGCCTATTTAACCATTAACTAATTGATATCATTGTTGGAAGTTACTCTATCAGTTTTTACCGTATTTTGGCTATCTGAAACAATTTTCAAGGAATTAACTCCATCAGTTGTTGTCCGATTTGCCGGAGTTTCACCGGTTCCAGCTCTGCCGTACACTCTCATTGTTTGTATTGTATTCAGGTGAATGTGCTATGCTTAGTAGAGAGATGGTTAATAAGCTGAATTTTTAATAGAAAAACTAATTAATTTAATGTTTACTTGAAGTTTAAAAAATCTATAGAAGAGTTATTTACATGTCAGAAGCCATCATAATGCAGAAATCAGAGTTCGAAGTCAGAAAAAAGAATTTTAAAACAAACACATACTAATCATTGGCGACTGTATTGTGTAAAAACATTGCTCATCACTTGTTGTCCATATGAAAAGTCCCTCATATTGTTCCGTTAAAAGATAAAGTTTAGCTGAAATATATTCCTCCTTGGAAATTCCTTTGACAAATTTTCATGTCAACGAATCAAATTGGTCTTTTATGTATCACTGTGACTCATATTTCACTAAAAAGGGCACCTTTTTTTTCGTTGTTTTTTCTTTTCTTACGTTGGTGTAATATTTTGTTCGCAGACTTCTTGTGATGCATTTTTGTTTGTTTGTCTAGTGTGTATGGTTTTAACAATTTATCTTTTAGTCAAGAAATTCATTAGTTTTTTTCATCTGACTAATAAATCTAAATACTAATGAATGTTAAGTGAACATGTCATAGGCAAAGTCTACATAGCTTGTTATTGTATTTTTTTGCATTATTTTTGTTTTTATTGATTTTAAAAGCACATGATGCAGTTTAGATTACTTTTTTTTACATGATATGGTGCAAGCTCAATAAATTTCATTTTTAATGACTAATATCTGATTCTTTCTCAAAATATTATTGATTTTAGAATTGTGTTGATTATTTGGCATATAAAATTATTTGAAGAATGACGTAGAAAGATTTACTATTGGGAGTCTTTGTGATTTTGAGAATTTCTGTTGGAAAAAGAAAGTATTTTACCATATGTATCATTATGAGTTCGAATCTTCTTATCACATTTACACGGTCGTTTTGTGAAGGTTTCAATCAAGCATTTTAATATCTTAAATAATACCACTTATGTTTCGTTTTACATAACATCAATCGTGTACGATGTTGTCTTTATTGCCATAGAATTTCCGCATTTTGTGTTTTACGAAACTGCATGATGATTAAGTGCATTAGAGGTGCGTTATCTTCATTCTTCATATAATTCATTGAAATGCAATTTTAGCATTGTCCATATTAGATAGGTACAAACTAGCGTATTTAACAGAAAAAAAACAAGCGAATAGTCATAAAATTAGGTCGAACGAATACGATAATATGGTTGGACACAATAGACGAGAAGGGTAAAAAAAAAAGACAACATGAGGATATAAGGGTCATGACCTGATCAAGCTGGCAATGCATGAGCTATTCATGCAATCATACTTCTACTCAGAATGCTTTTATTATTAACAAAATTTTTATGGATAAGATGGATTACAAAAGTTCATAGTCTAATATTTTTCAGATATTAGTCATATTTATTAAATTAAGGAATGGCTGAGGCACTAGAAAAAGACATGATTCCATGTGAAAACTGTAGCGAACAAGTTAACTTGGATGACTGGTCAATTCATGTTGTATGTAGATATAGATTTTTCGTTAAACAATTCGATATATTTTTGATTTTTTTCATTCGATTCTAGAGACACTGCTTTCATGGGGAAAAGAAACAAGTAGAAAATTCAACGAGGTAAAAATATCAAATATTAATTAGTTTATAAATTATACTATTTTCTAGAGCTATCACGAATGAACCGATCATTGATGGTATTCCTTGTGAATTTTGCGACACTCAAGTCAATTTAGATGACTGGGAATCCCATTCAGTAAATCGAATCATATTATATTCGTACAAGGTTTTCAATTATATCAATTACATTTTTAGAAACAATGTGCTGATACACACAATAGTCGAATTAAAAAATTAAAAAAGTATAAATATCAATTATAAACGAATGAATTCTAATCGATATTTCAATAGTATGAAGGATGAATCTATCGTAGAACTTATTCCTTGTGAATACTGTGATGCACAAATCAATGTCAACGATTGGGAGTCACATTCAGTATGTCAATCATATTCTTGTCTGTTTGGTGTTGATTTTGTTTTGATGATATTATAGAAACAGTGCGTAAATAGTAGTAAACTATGTACTAGTAATGTAAAAACGTAAGATAAAAAAAGTAATTTGTAGATTCCACTCATTTGTTTGACGTTTTCTCTGTAGTGATGGGAATAAATTAATGGATGCTCTTATTCCATGTGAATATTGTGGTAGTCAAGTCAGTTTAGACAACTGGACGTGGCATACGGTAATAAAAAAATGCGTTTAACTCTAATTCTTGTAACCAGGAAATTCTCAAGAGTTCATAGATTATTTCATTAATTAAAGTTGCAATTCTTACACTACATTGAGTGTTAAATTATATTGGGTATCGAGTCATAGAAAAATACATGTACAGATAAAGCTACTTTCTTGATAGATACAAAATTAGTACGAAACTTCGCAATATGTTAATGTTCATCGAGCGTCTCAGTTCAGATTGTTGTATAAATATTCTCTATTTACTTTAGAATCAATGTGCGGACGCTGATCGACGCCGCGTTGAAAATATAATCAAGTATAATTATAACAATCATATCAAATTTCATGTGTAAGGATGCTTCTTTTTTAGACAAAATGAAGCTCATCCAGATGCCAATCTTATCCCATGTGATATCTGTAAAGAATCTTTTGTATTTCAAGATTTTGCAGCCCATCAAGTTTGTTTGTTTTTTCGTGTTATATCATATTCTAATTCTGCTAGTATAATTACGTTTTAATAGACTGAATGCCAACTTAAGCAAGCTTCATCAGTATTTACACCAGTATGCTAAATTTTAATGGTTGCTTTGAAATTTATTCTATTGAAACAAGTAGAATGCTCTACACGAACAGACAGCGAACGGTCTTTTCTCTTTGCCAAGACACTGGGACCAATCATCACCACACAATCTCTCTCGTTACACTCTGCAGCCTGATTCCGAAGAATATAAATTTGTTGCGGATAATTTTCACAAGACATTAACATCAAATGAAATCGTTCAAATCGAAAGAATCCAAAACCGACGTAAGTAACGACCGTGTATAAATGGGGGG